AGTTTGACAAAAAAGTACCAAGCCTTAGGGAGGACTTTCATTTGTGGTTGAGGTTTGTGGTATTTGATGCTCTATTTCGTAAGGTGTAGTTAGTAATATGATTGTATAAAATATTTTCCGAACGTATTACTTTTGACGTATGACTTTTATCTATCTGACGTCTGAATCGAAAGGATTGCTGTCTGTGTCAAATCGTTGAAGGCATTGTTAACGAAGAAAGCTGTTGCGTTCTATTCAAATAACGCGGACGCCCACTGTACATTTATTATTAAAAAGGTCTTTTGGCATGCCCCCCCCCCAAAAAAAAAAATAGAAAGAAGGCGCAGATGGGAGGGGGTGGTTGTTCACATTTTAGGTTAATCGTTTTATACGTTTAAAGTAGGGGGACTACAAAATATACAAATGCAAGACATCAACATGTTTCTTTCGTATTTTTGACAGTATTGCACACGGGAATCAACTTCAAGACATCAAGCCAATAATGAATAACAGTGTGAAGTTGGTATCAGTGTAAGTACAATCGAACCCTGATAATAAGATTAATGTTAATACAACGTCATGCTTTAGCAAAATTTTAGGTCCCAAATCTTTGTTTCCCAATACGTTGTTATAACAACGTAATTTGCAAAGTCCCATGGATTTGTTGTGAAGGTGTTCGACTGTATTCTTTCGGGTCACAGCCGAATGATTATACACGGGCTACACCCAGCTTGGAGGAATTCAGTTGAAACCTCTTAGTCACAAGTTGATGATCAGTGACGTACTTACACATGCTTGTGCACTAATAACAGCGTGCGAGCTACAATCCTGTAGTCAAAAGATTGTCGAAACGTCATGGCTCCCTGCTGTACATTAATGATGCACGTGGCTATTGGTGACCAGTGGAACCGTGCGTCCGAAGTTGCTCTCAACTACGCATGTTTGTTTTCTAATTTGCCCATCATTTTTCTTGCCGTTGATAAGTTCTACAACAACGTGTGCGAGTCCGATTCTCCTGATAGTGTGAAATTTAAATGATAAAATTGTACTTCATTGTTTAGGCCTATATTTAGCACCGTTTTACTTCACAAAATTCATCAAACTTAAGTATAACATTTTTCATAACGATAGTAAAATCCGAAAGCAGAACATTTTGAAACTTCAACTTCAACTTTATCCACAGTGATTTTGGGGACAACAGTCTGCAAATCATCGAGACGGATATGTTCAAGAGATTTACTAACTTAACACATATGTAAGTATGCAGGACAGTTTTCCTTTTTGTTTAAGACACTTATTTAACTGTTATTTTGTATCCCTTAATTTCTTCAAATGCTATGATAAGTAATTTAGCTCAGTTGGCCAGTTGTGTCATATAAGATTCTACGGCGTTCCGAGTAAAATTTGATGGAATGTTAGAAAAATAACTTAATATTTGATTTTAGGGGAGTCAGGTTGGCGTAGTGGTACTTTCCTCGCCTTTCACCGCTGTCACCCGTGTTCGAATCCCACCCCAATATGTGGATTGGGTTTTCAGTCCCTACCTGAATCCGTGGAGTTTCCTCGGAATATTCCTCTGGGCTTTTCCTCCCAAACTAAAACTGAAATTTCTTCTCATTGTCTTCTCTCTACAGGTTTCTTCAAGCTTTCGAGCTATAGTGCCTAGGGCACTTTTGAGGAATCCTCGGTTTCATTATCATAAAGAAATAAAATACAATACAAAAACAACTCATATTTGTGGTCATATTTTTGAGCACTCTTGTTGCTTCAAACGAACAAAACGCACAAAATTACAAATGATGGACCATACTTTTAATCACTGAACTAAAATGGAATCATATGCTCTGGTAGCAAAAATGAAACGCGTGTTCAGAGCGATTCTCAAATTCATACGAAAATGAATGACCGATTTTCAGAAGTGAAATAACATTTTAGGAAATTGACCGGGAAAACGTATTTTCTCATTTACTGTTTGTTTGTTAATTTTGTCCCTTCAACAGAATCTTGCAAAAAAAAACAATATCTGAAATACAAGACAGAGGGTTTGCGGGACTACGAGATATTTCCATGCTGTAAGTCGCCTATTACTTTATTGTTGCTGCTGCTGTTGTTGTTTCTTATTTGTAAGTAACATAAATAACCCTTAGCTTTTCGCTTTAAAGAAGATTTAGAAGATGGGAATTTTTATTCCCAATTGCTTGCGTTAACATTACAAAACTCCTTGTTTTCCAATCAAGATGGCCGACTTATGAGTTGTGCTTGAGCTGATTATTGGTTCATCGTCTTTCTGCTTTGTTTTCGTTGAAACAGAATGATGGGTAAATGCCACTTGAAGGTGTTACGGCCACATACCTTTGGGAGCATGCATCAGCTGAACGTACTGTAAGCATTGCGTCGTCTTCCATTTTTTTCGTTCAAACTGATGTCCGAATGTAAATTGAAGGTGTTATGTATGGAACCCCAAAAGTGGATAACCCAATTTTTCCCATTTTTTGATAGTAGATTTTTAGAAGCCACGGTACCCATTTAAAAAGGAAATCTTTTTTTTTTTTTTTTTAAGCAGAAACTGGGACTTTACTTTGACGATTCATTCGCGCCCCAAAAGTGAACAACTAAACTCTTCAATTCCCATTAGCAAAAATTATAATTTACCCATGTCTGGAGCCTGTATCAGCAGATTTTTTTTAGGCATAGCTCAAGTGACTTTTGATGGAATGGTTAAGGTGACGTGTTATAAAAAGAACACAGAATACTAAAAGCGATTTTGACATTTCTGTTTTTAATTATACAGCCGTCTTTCACAATGTCAATTGGAGGAAATTCCACCTGGTTTGTTTCTAGATCCGGCGACAGAGGATATTTCTTACAAATCTATACACCTTATGTAAGTAGTGGTATGAACAAAAATCCGATATGATTTGCAGAAGGACGATTGGAATGAAAACACTAAAAAAATAGTCTCTAAAGGCTAAGTAAGATTTGAGGCTTTGCATGGTGGAGATACTAATGAATGAAGGGTTTGCGGAAACACCATGTGGGAACAATTTCTAAAACTAAGAGAATGGTTCTGAAAAGAACCAGACTTATAAACTCGACGTTCCTGTCAGTATGCTCTGACCGTCTTCAGAAGAGTCTCTAAAGCTTATCAGCGGATTTTTTTTATCAGAAAGCTCAAATCTTTTAAGGTGTGCAGAAAACTACTTCATCTTTTTTACCAGAGTGTGATTCAATCAATTATGACTTTTTTATTATGTGTGTGTCATGGCTCTCTAACTGTAATAAATTCATATAGGCTCGAACGTGTGAGCAAAACAGCTGCTAAAGTGATTGGTATAGATGTTAGAGACCTTCGTCTGATCTTACACGAAGGAGGTAACACTGGCAAAACTTAAGTCATTCATGTAGAGGACGAAGACATCCCAACCAATCACCATCCTTACTGGCATTGACATTGACGACGGCTTGTTTTCCATGGCTGAGCTGAAGAGAGCCAAGAACTCTCTCAGACAAGGAAAGAGCGCTGGACCTGATGGGATCCCATCTGAGGTGTTAAAGAACTGTGACCTGGATGGCATCCTGCTGAACATTTGCAACACAGCGCTGATGAAGGGCGATAAGCGGGAACAGTGGTCCCTTTTGAACATAAATCCTGTTCCGAAATCCGGCTCGCTTACCACAAACCGACACTTACCGTGGCATCAGTCTGATCTGTATCTCAGCCAAGCTCTATAATCGGATGATCCTCAACCGGAAAATGGTGGCAATCGACCCCAAGCTGAGATACAACCAGAACAGTTTTCGCGAGAAGCTGTCGCACAGATCCAGGCCGTTCGGAGAATAATAGAGGAGGTAAAGAAGAACAACCTACCAACTATCTTGACCTTCATCGATTTCAAGAAAGCATTCGATTCTATTCATTGGGGGGGAAATGATCAAGATACTAAAGGCATACGAAATCCTACGGAAGCCCGTTAGGGCCGGGTACCTCTTTCTCTTTTACGTCGGAGCGTTTCTTTTTCACGGTGCCACAACTTATTAACTCGCGGCCGTCACTTAATTATGTCGCCGCCGCGACATAATAACTCGCGGCCGCCATTTAATTAAGTCGCGGCCGCAACATAATTAAGTCGCGGTCGCGAGTTACATGATATGAAAGCGAGGCCAGCTGCCATGAAAAAGAAATGCTCTGCCGTGAAGGAGAACGAGGTACCTGGCCCTAACGGGCTTCCGTAGCATCCCGTCTTCAATCCATCGAGCCATTGAGGCCACCTAACAGCACCATGGCAAGAGTGATCACCCCAGATGGTGAGACCGAAGTGTTCGAGCTACAGGCTGGGGTCCTGCAATTAAGGTGACACGTTGGCAGCCTTCATCTTCGTCATGGTACTTGATTACGCCCTCCGGCAAGCAGTTGGAGACCATGAGGAGCTTGGCTTCACCATAACACCAAGGAAGTCAAAGAGGGTTGGTCCATTTATACTATCTGATCTGGACTTTGCCGACGACATCGCTCTGCTATCTGACGAAATCAGAGATACCCAGGCCTACCTTGTCAAGAGTAGAAACTGAGACTAGTGAAACAAAGTCGGGCGGCACCTCAAAGCCAATAAGACAGAGTAGATGTCCTACAACGTAGGACCGTGAGCCACTCAAGACCATCAAAGGTTCCCCACTCAAACGAGTTTCCGACTTAAAGCACGTCGGATCACCAATGGTGAGCTCGGAAAAGGACATCAATGTGAGTAGAGGTCTTGCCTGGAGAGAACTCAACGTCATTAACAACATCTGGAACTCCAACCTCTCCAGGGGACTTAAAAAGAGAATCTTCTTAGTAGCAATCGAGACAATCCTCCTTAACGAGTGTGAAACTTGGACCCTCACTACGTCCATGGCCAAGTCTCTCGATGGCTGTTACACCAGGATGCTCCAGATGGCCTTCAATGTCAACTGGACACAGAGGGTGACCAACAAGCAACTCCATGGTGGGCGATCGACCTTCCTAAGTTGAGCAACAAGATAGCATGGAGACGGATGCGACTGGCCGGGCACTGCCTGCGACACCCAGAGTTTCCCGCCAGCAAAGTCCTCATCCGGCAACCAACCCATGGGAGGATGAATCGTAGGCGCCCGCACAAAACCTGATCCTAGTCCTGATCTTATACATGTATATCATGTCCGTCATACATGAACATGTCCGTCATCATAGGACATTTTTTCTCCCGCTTTTCGACCTTTATGTTCAGGCCTATTTATCGTTTGCAGCAATTAGAATTTAATATTTCTTTCACATGTTTTAAGTTATTTCGACAGCAACAAACTACAGCGGATCTGTCCAGGTGCATTCCATGGAGTAAAAGAAATCTACAGCCTGTAAGTTATTCATTCTAGTACAGTTGTATATCCCGCGAGCACAAGTGGAACATAGCCTTGACCAAGGCTATCAGTTTGTTCCCATACGAGCTTGTTCCCGCTACCGCACACCGCGCGCGCCGCGACACAATCACTAGTTGTACTATACCGTTAGCCTCAACGACCCTTGCGTGTGATTTGTGTGCATGTACGTACGCCCCACACACACTTCTGCAAACAGCCGTACAGTAAGTCGAGGCAGAAGATAGCCTTGACGCAACCGTAGCGAATTCTTATGTGTTTCTTTATAGTTTCGACCGAAATCGGCCGAACATTTCTGATGCGCATATATTACACGATATCCAATCAAAGCCCGTAAACTTTGACCCGCGACATACATATTCATGATCCCGCAAATTACTACACCACGTACATGTACCGTGTACATGTATGTTCACTCAAACCATGGTATGTCCAGGTATTTTAAACCCATTTTAAACAATTTCTCCAGTTTTATTACAAACAAATGAGATATGCCGCTATATGAGTGAACAATTGTTCAAAATGATACTATTTCCAATGTATTGAGAATTTTAAGTTCAAGACAGTCCGCCGACGTTTTGTCGGTGCAACAGCGTTCAGTATCTCGCCGCTACCTGCCCGTGCTATTCTGACAGCGAATTTAGGGAACAGGTCAACTCGGACCCAGGCCAAATCGTACCCATTTAATCGAATGCAGGTTAACTCGTATCTATAAGCACCCGTATGAATTAACTGCAAGAAACGAGCTATTGACTTTGGGATGGAAATATACGAAACTGTCAAGTACATGGTGAAAAAAAAACTCTCCCTGAATTCGTACCATGTGCAACATACATCTCATACGTACGACACATGTATTTTAATGCGTACGTATGAATCATATGTCGTACCTACGACATACGTACGACATGTAAGTCGTAGATGTAAATCGCATGAGATACAAGTCGTTCTCACAAGATATGTTGTATGTACGACATAATCGACAAACAAGTCGAACATACCACTGGTTACAATTCATATTTTGTACACACGAGATATTAAGTCGTACTTACATACGACTTTGTCGTATGCGCGACATATATCGTACCCTGTCGACTCGACTTAGGCACGACATATATGTCGTACCGGCACATGTCGACATTATGTCATATGTTTGATATGTCATACCCTGTCGACATATATGTCGTACCCTGTCGATGATATTAGTCGTACCCTGTACGAAATATGTCGTACCCTGTCGATATATTAGTCGTACATACAACATATAACTTATAAGTTGTTCATACAAGTTAAAATCAGTCTTACAGAATAAGTTTGCTGAAGGTGAGATATTTTTTCCCATATCCCCTTGACAGCTTAGAAGAAATCCCCCCCCCCCAAAAAAGTCAACGGTAGATATACTGAATAGTGTGAGCGCTTTAAAGTTTTTTGCCGCTGAACGTGAAAGCGCAGCGTGTCTCACTGAATGGCGCCAGCCGGGCCGGTGCCTACAGTGGACGGCCCCCAACGTGGCCTCTGTGCATGGTGACATCGTTTTTGCCGGCGTGCGGTTTTGTACCGTTTGCCGTTTTTTGAAGGTCTAATTTTTCATCCTTTTCATTTCATTTACGACCCAAATTATGTGTAACTTTAAAAATATTATTCTACTATTATTTAAGATTTTAAGGGGGTGTTTTACAATAATTATTGTTTCCACAGGCCGTCTGGTTGGGTTTATAAACCTTTCGTCGTATTATGCAATTAATAAATATTCATTTTTTTGTCAGCCGTTATCCAATGAGAGAAGACTATTTACCATAGCGCGTACTAATTATCATATTCAGCATACACGGTTGCGTCAAGGCTATCTTCCGCCTCGACTTACTGTACGGCTGTTTGCGGAAGAGAGTGTGGGGCGTACGTACATGCACACAAAGCACACGCAAGGGTCGTTAGGGCTAACGGTATAGTACAACATTGTGTTGCTGCGCGCGCGGTGTGCGGTAGCGGGAACAAGCATTTTGAAGATTGCACGCCGGGCGCCCCCATAATGCGCTCGCGTGCTTTGCATGTACGAAACAAAAGATTAGGATTCAAAAGTCGCGATGCCTGTACGATATGGATTATGTCAGCCGCGTTTTTCGCTAAAAAAAACCCTGTATCTGTGGTGGTAAAGGCACGAAAGGGGTACGTACATTTAATACAAATCTTTGCTAATTAACAAAACGTCCAAACGTTGTGCTTGAAAGGATTGATTCTTCAAAATCACAACTTTTAACATTTTAAAGACGGCGTCGGCACGTAAAACGGATAAACTGCAGCCCTAATTATAATGTACCGTATTTTGGCACATTTATATTACACAATTCCAGGGGTGCGTTTTGGCGGTCATAACCAAGAATTGGTTCGGTGGTTTCTCTTTGGTTAATTGTTTTTAGGATTTGAGTACTACATGATCATGCGTAATTTTAACCCAATTAAAATTGCTGAAGAAATTCACCGACAAGAAACAACCGAACCATTTCTTGGTTATGACCGCCAAAACGCACCCCAGGGGTTACGATCGCGCAAGGCATGATGGGAAACAACATGGCGCTGCAAGATCATACCCACGGGGCACGAGGTTGAGAGCGGTCATTCCATAGAGATCATAGGCACAGTATACATTGAGTGGTTTACCGTAAGAGTGCTAAATGCAACTAGGGTTTAAACGACTGGAAAACGGTTGCTACCCCCAATCCACCATACAACTAAAAGAATTCTCAAAGTGCATTAAACGAAAACGTTCGGAAGGACATTATGTCGGACGTCCTTCAAACATTCAACATGACGGAACAAGTTTGAAAATATTATATCAAAATGCGTTTTTAGACCCTTTAGATACAAATAAGGTGTTTAAGAGAACATGTTTAGAAAGTGTGATTGTTTTTTAAAATCTCCTTACATAATGCACGCTTTGATGAAACCCATTCCAATCTCTACTCCGGCTTCGTCGTCGAACACATAAACTGGTTCCCGTACGTAGTATGTGCATCTAATATATTTTTTTTAAATGACTCGAGACTTAACTTAAGAAAATTGACTTGGGACTTGACTTGACTTGACTTGTGAACAATTGACTCGAGAATTCACCTGACTTGGAAAAAAAAAAGTGGACTTGAGACTTGACTTGACTTGCTAAAATTTGACTTGGACTTGACTGGACTTGGGAAAAAAATGACTTGGTTACAACTCTGACGCGCACCCCCACACTCATTAAAGTCACGGGTCATAGTACTGGCCAGGAACCCGGGTCACATTAAGATCCATTCAACCATTCATTCATTCACTCATTCTTTCTTTCTTCCTTTTGCAGAAGACTTGAAGGAAACCAGCTTACTTTTCTCCCAAATAACATGTTTGAAAATTCGACAAAAGTCGGAATGTTGTAAGTGTACTTCCATTCCCCCTTTTTAAAACAAAAAAAAGAGTTTATTTTATCGGATCTAGGCTGTTGTTAGAATATGGCTATTGCTTCAGACTATCAGAGACAAAAAAGTGTGCGAATTCTCTGAAATACCCAAAACACAATGAATTTCGATTCGGCTTTGTTTAATATCAATAGTAACATTATGATGCACATAGCAATACATCTGGGATAGCACATAACATAGCCCATTTTGGGATCCATAAAACATAATAAAAAAAAATATACAACACATAAAATATATCAATAACACCTAAAACACCAGAAAGAAAATAAAAATATATTGGCAAAAAACATTGTTGATAATAATTTTTGATCATCGATTTTAGTAAACTTTCGCAGAACAAAATCGACTCACGAGGCCTTCCAGAGGATGCGTTTCACAACATAACAGTGTATACTCTGTAAGTGTATCAACGTATCAGATATTTTTTAAAATAAAGACTCTAATGAGGTATGTTTTCCAGATATTCTGAAAAGCAAAGTAACTGTCGGCATTATGACGATGATGCTTACGTTACATTGACATTGCAAAACAAGTGTTGTTTATGATTTGACGAATTTCTTTGCAACGCGAGTGGACGGCATTGGAAACTTTTCAACGAAAATGTTGTTTAACGTGTGAATGATGTTTTTTAAATACTCGCCTGTGTAAAATAAAGTAAATCAGCTTTTACTCTATCCTTTATTGAATGCTCTGAATGATTTAGAGCAGGGTTCAATAATGTTATGCTGACGACAGTTTCTTACTTTTAGTTATTTATGTTTGCTTTTAGGGATTTGTCGTCCAATCAACTGACTTATATTCCAACTGGACTTTTCCGGTCGCAGACTGTGCTCCGATATCTCTACTTACAGCGGAACCAAATCAGTGTCCTGCATGATAAGGTGTTTGCGGGACTTCGCTCGCTGAAAGAACTGTAAGTCAAGTTCGTTCTTCAATATACCTTATGCACAAGGAAGCCGTTTTTGATCGGGTTCCCTGAATATATTGTATAGATTGTAAACTGTTGAATACGATGATGCCAGACTATAGTTATGCGTTCCAAGCCTCACTTTTTTGAAATGTGGTTTAAAACACTAAGGTATGGTTAATCACAAATTCTAAATGATTAATCTTAGCAGACTGGTATTTAATTCATGTCATTGCTTTCATTTATATTCGCAAGTTCCAAAAATGAAGATTTTACCTGGCTAATACCTTACCTATACGTCGCTGTATGCCGTGACGTCACTATCGGCTCGTTGCTATAGCAACTGTTCCCGTCGAGACAGTTCCTGTGGCGATTGTTTTTGTTCATTCCTGAATAAACCCCGTCATCTGATTGTTGATCACGTCACTGACTACATGCTATTTGTCCCAATCCACGACCCAGCTGCGCCGCAAAAATAGAAGTTCTACTACGCTCAGTTCGCGGCAAAGAAATGTTCTACTGCCCGGTCACACTACTGGTGGCACAGACCAAACAGATGACGAGAATTTATTCAGGTGTTGTTTTGAAACAAAAAGTTTGAAACAAGTGCAAAAGAAAAAGACTAAATTCGTATGAAATGTTCGGCTTTGCCTCATTGAACATCCATGTGTCGTCCCATCTGATTCGCCATGTTGAATGGTACATCCACCTGTCATCCTTACCAAAATTCTTGCAAATAAAACATCAAATACACAATATACATTCATTTACTATCGCTGTATCGAAACATGACACAGAAAGAAATGATACTATCCAGGAGTTATTACGAGGTTGGCAGTTTCGAGGGAATCATTGCAAGGTGCGTACACACTTACTTTGTGTTTTCCAAGGGATCTGAACTAGGGATCTGGATCATAGGAGTTTACGGTATTGTTTTTTTTTCATAAATGAACACATTCTCATCAAAACACCGAATCATTCCTGAATGGCTTCACCGCCTATGGGAAAAAATGCGGTCTGCTCTGGCAAGTGTAACGTACAGGTGTATTAGGTATCAGGTATTCGTAATGTTTAAATTGTTTTGCATATGCGTCCACTGCCTTTTCGTATCCAACTGTTTGAACCTAGCTTTAAATAGAAAATTACATAAAATAAACAAAATTGTTGGCGAAGGGCAAAAATCCAATATCAAAAAGCTTGATAGCTTTTAAACTTCGACTTGACTAGTTGGGCCCAATTTCATAGCACTGCTTAACAGCTGATTTTCTGCTAACCGAGCCGCCATCTATTTCATAGACACCGTAAAAAGTAAGAACAGCAGAAGCACGCTTAACGCCTGAGGAACGTTAAATCAGTGACGCAACAATAGAAACCTCCACGGGCGCGCAACCGCTAGCTCATCCGCGCCATGAATTTCTGCTACAGTAAGCACAACTTGTTCTGCCTACTGTTAAGCAGTTCTATGAACTTGGGCCCAGTAGGCCTATTCAACATTTAAATTCCAATATTTTCCATTTTAGGATGATATTTGACAACCCAATCACCGAGTTAGTGGACTGGCTCTTTTATGAGACCAAACTGACACACCTGTGAGTATACACATCTTGTCATCTTGACATCTAAACATCGGGAATCGTTATTTGTAGATCAAACTTGAAAAAGCAAAGCTTTGAAATATTTTCAAATAGACGATACACATGGGTATACAGAAACACAGACACACACGTTTGTTTATGGTGTGAATTTAGGATTTTCTTTTGTTCTTATTCCCTTTTCCTTTGTTTGTACCTTAGCTTTTTCGCAACAGCTCTCATTGGTTTTGTACACGTTTATTAGTCGATGTCGTCCTCGATTTGGTCCCTTTCATCGATTCACCGATGATGTTGCACGTGTGTGTCCTCGATTTACACCATAAACAAACTTAAAGCTTCATTTATCTTGAACACCAGTGTTTTTCCCAATGCACTACATTCTACACAAATTAATTAAAGTAATTCTTGATTATTTGAATATTAGGTACATATTCCAGACTCAACTTTTGTCGATAGGGGAGCGGCCATTTGCGACAATGAACCACACTCTGCAACATGTGTGAGTATTAAAGCTCCAACCTTCCAACCTTACGATGTCAATCGGGCAGATAAATATTTTCTGAGACATTCCCTGATTAGAAAGACATTAAATTGAAGTATGTATTACTTTTTTTTTCAGATCAATGTACGACAGTCACTTGAAGAACGTTTCCAATTCTGTCTGGCAGGATCTGGGTAACTCCTGTTACGTGTAAGTCAATTTCAAGTTTCTGCTCAAGGAAAGACAGTCTTGGAAAAATATAACTTTCTCCTTGCTCGATTACCTTAGTATGACGTCTTCAGAACTATAGACACCCACTAGTTCCTAGCAAGACAAACAATTGGTAGATTCAAAACAACTTTAGGTCAAAGGTCCACCGGACTAAATAATGATCGTATTAATAGAAGTTTAAGTTAGGCTGTTGGGTTTAATCGGGCGTTTTGATAGATTTTTAAGATGTATTTATTTCTTTCAGCAAACAGCAAATAATCACCACCTACAGGCCGAGTAAAAACATTCAACAAATAATTATTACAACACAAATTTAAGATAAAAATACAATTTATATTGTTTCAAAAAACGCCCAAGTGGGCGCCTTTGCCTGCCCAACTTTTTAGCCTCTTATGACCTCATCTAAAGTCAAAAAATGCTTCCATTAACAAGTTGTCATATAAACGTGTGCAAAACACAAATAAACACTTAAGAATGCATTGGTCCATGAAGCAGCCGTTACATGCGGCTCAAAAGTAAACATAAAACAGTATTAAAACCAGACACTCGAGAAGCCGTACAGATGCAATCGGCACGTCCCGTTTCGACAGATCGTATTCCTGTTTTTATTCTCTTCAGAGCAATCGAGAACATTTTGGAGTTTGCACCAGTCACAAACAGAAATGACCTCAAAATGTGAGTATTACAATTAGGAACAGCTTTTGTTTTTGATAAGATATATTTCCCCACTTTTTTTCCAATATGTTTTGTATACGTTTTCATTCTGAAAATTCTTTAGGACTACAATTAATCCAATCACTTTGTATAATTAAAACATTCATTTATATAACTGTCATCCGAAGATGTTTGCCGAAAAATTATGTCATCATGACATCATCAGGAATCATGTAACAAATTAAAAATTTCTTTTTTTTACAGTCTTATAGAACTATTGAACCGATTGATCTCAAAGTTTGTAGATATATCGAAAGGAAGCTGTTTTAGATCAGCATTGATTTGACGCAAAATTTGACATGAAATATTTTTTCAATCCGATTCACTTCAAACTGCAACACAAACTTCAACACATACTTAGACCAAATTCTGAAGTTGTATGCTGAATCATGACGTCGTGTTGACGTCATCAGAAGCCACGTTAAGTTACATTTTTGGCATGCAATATCTCCTGACTTACATGTGTTATATGTCAAAATTGAAGTCTCTTCATGATGACGTCATCACAAAGTAATATATGAATAATTACCTGTTAACATTTGTTTCAAGATATCTACTTAACAAAACAACATTTTTTCAAAAACCTGTCTGATGTATGGTTGGTATGTCATACTAATATTGGGACTTTTGTGTTTCGTTATCATGACGTCAATTTGAAGGACATATGCTTTGTCATCAGATTGTCATGAAACTTGCTGGGTACTTGACATAACCTGTCTTTGTAGTAGCAAGTATAAAGTGCTGTCAGGATGACGTCATCCTTTGATTTTTGTTAAATTAAATTTAGATTTTTTTTTCAACAAGCAATGTTCGGCGTTATTTCAAGTCCAATCCTTTATTAATCATTAATTTACATTTACTTCTCTTCATTCATGTTAAAGTAACACGTGGTTAGTCAACTTGAAAGGCGATCTATTTGTGAGATTAAATATACTTCCCTTTTCAGAAGCAGTCCATTTCAACGTAGTGTCATAATACTGGAGTGAATTGTACATGTACTTCTGTGGTTTCATTTGCCGGTTTTGCAAGAAAATGCGTCTAGTATTTGTTTATATGTCTATGCTCCAATCTGGTCACTCAAAAACTGATAATGATGTAGTGATTAGAAATAGTTTATTTGCTTTGCCCATAAGGTCAAATGAGGGCGCTGTTTAAGTTAACTGGTCAAACTTCCGCGAATTTGTTGAGGGGTTATGAGGATATAGAAATAGTACGTTCATCAGCCAAGTAAGGGGATATTTTGACGATAATAGATAACTAAGGGGTTCTATCTCTCATGAAGTGCTGTATTCTCAGAAGTAAATGTCTGTTATTGTAAAATATGTGAATGTAGGATAGAGCAGATGATGTTTTTATCGTGTGCGCCTTAATACTAAACAACTGTTTACGTAAGCGGGTTTGGCGGGCACTGTCTCCGAGGTCTGCGTTTCTGACAGCTGCAGAAAGCTTGCTTTAGCAACTATTATCAGACCAATTTAGCCTGACAGCCGATGGCTGGGATGTACATTTAGACATCAGAGGAAGGAGAGACAGCCCTGGAGCCCGTGCACTGGCTGGTATGGAACAAATTGAATTATTTTCATGTTATTTTGGGGGTTTTACTATCAATGAAAGTGTAATTTCCAAGACGCCGACCGGGTCAGAGGTCACATGTCATACATGTATGTTAATGTGGGAAGGCCGTTGTATTTGCAATGGAGTTCTTTGTATCTGGGTTGGACTATGTAATTTTCTAGGGTTAATTTATTACTTGTACACACATGTATTGTGATTAATGGGATACGTGCACATGTATGTGAAGTTATGTGAGTTTATATTGATTTATTTTTAATGTATTTGATTACTAGGTTTTTTGTGATGAATGGGAGCATAGACGACTAATAAATTTGATGTGATCGAATCATCACCCCTGAACCTTGACTCCACACCGAGTTTCACTACAAAATTGGTAACACGGATGGGGTGCTGAGTGCTGACTTAATGACCTGACTGACTGAACGGGTGGACGGTGACCTGAGCCTAGCGTAGGAGAACTGCGGGGAATTACATGCGTTTGCTGGGGAGGCAACGTGGACGGATGCCGTAACAGTACCACTACCAGGGAGTCTGCAAGGGAACTACAGACAGTGGTTGCGGTAGGCAGTTTGGAGTCATACGCATGGACTGTGTCATGTTTACTCGTACAGTTTAAATGTAAATCAGTAGTTACATTGTAGATTAGGTTGCCAGCAGTAAGTGGTCGTGATAACTGAAGAAACAAAAACAAAAGCCAGCCAGTGCATTATCGGTTGAAAATATTGGGTAATCTGCCAGTTAATTGGACCTAGTTTAATTTAGCCGTGTTGATTGTAGAAATATTTTAGGCTGACCTTGGATTTTCCTTGTGGGGTTTTGTGTACCGCGTTTCTTGTGCTATGGCTGAGGCGGAGGCTGGCCTGGTTGAGCGCCTTGTTGCAGGCCTGACTGAGGCCATCAAGTCAAATCATAAGCCAACCACACAACGAGCGATTAAATTAGCTAGGTTTAATGGCCGTCCAAGTAGGGCAGGGGATCCTACCATTCTTGAGTGGATTGATGAGGTTGATATATATTGTCAACAATGCCATATCCCTGACAAAGAAAAAGCGCAGGTTGTCTATAATCACTTAGGGGGGTTGGCCCGGGATGAGGTTAAGTGTAACCCGTCAGTGAAAGGCGATTATAAGGCCTTGATGAGGCTACTTAACAGACAATTTGGGGCAGATGAAACTGTACAATCGTTGCAAAAGTCACTGTATGAGCGTCATCAACTGGAAGATGAGTCCCTCATGGACTATTCACGGTCTCTTATTAGGCTTTATGATCGTATAATCGAGGCTGGGAGTGAGGGAGAAAAAGAAGGATTGAAGGGACTTAAGGATAAAGTCCTCATTAATCAGTTTGTAGCTGGGGCCAAGAACCAAAGCATGCGCTTAGAGCTACGACGTCTTGAGTTGGCCACACCAGGGCAAAGTTTCAGTGCGCTGCGAGATGCTGCTTTAGACCTATTCAGGGATATCGATAGGCCAAAGGTCAAACGAAGCCAGGTACGCCAAGTGGGCGTGGCACCGTTTGATGATCCTGATGAGGAAAATCAGGGGGGTTTGAATTGTGCTAATGATGTAGTTGAGGTATCAGTGGAGGGCGTGGCCGTTCGTACTCCTAGTGGGGGGCAGTTTCAAAAAGTGATGCAACAGCAAACAGAAATGATGAAGTGCATTAGGGATCAACAGGAACAGATTCTAAAACAACAAGAACAGCTCACAACCTTGATGGAACATGTGATCAAAGGGTCAGATCCAAAACCATTTAATGTTGGTCAAGGGGGACGGCGCGTGGTGTGTTTCAGATGCAAGCGCCCTGGGCATATCAAGGCTAATTGTAGATTCGGTGGTAGTGGCCAAAGTTTGACAGCTAGCAGTAAGTCCTCTGGGGGACAGGGGCAATCGGATGGTGTGGGGTCACCATGTGATAAATCCACGGTTAGTGGTGAGTTAAACACAAGTCCTCCATCACTGTAGGCCAAGTGATGGAGGGAGTCTCTGAAATGGCCTCACCTGGGGACAATGTGCATTGTGAAAGGGGAGAATTGTCTGAGCATTCGGTAAATGAACTTCTTACTCGCCTGGTACATAAAAGCCCTTCAGTTAATGTGACTTTGGCTGGAGTTCCGGTAACTTGTATACTAGATACAGGAGCTGAAACCTCCCTTATGAGCTCATCTTTTTTTAGCAAACATTTGTCGGATAAGATGAGTGGGCCCGAACCAGTGGGCCGGTACCTGCGGGTATATGGGGTAGGTCACTTAGAGCTGCCTGTGGAGGGATATGTGGAGGTCCCAATGGTGGTGCATAACCACACAGTAATGGCACATTTCCTAGTTGTGAGAGACCCATCACAGTGTGGGGTGGGGGGCCGGAAGAGCCCGGTACTAATCGGTTGTAATGTACTAGAACTGTTGAGGGGCATAGCGATTGACTCAAAAGTGCAAGATGCAGAAGCTTTGAGTGTTGCTCTGCAGTGGTACCGTCTCGCAAGAGAACCACGTGATCAAGATCGACACAAATTTAATAAGGGATCAAAGAAACCGGTGTCTGTGCGCACTCGTGGGCAACAAATGACTGTCCCTCCCAGGCAGGTGCAAACCATTAAATGCCAGATTAGAGCCCCAGTTGAGGATTTCAGAGACAAAATGATTCTTGTGGATAGTCATTTGACAGAGAGTGGAGAAATAAATGAGGGGAGCGAAGGAACAACAAACGTTTCCCCAACCCTTAGGGTATACAATTCTTGTGGGATTACTGATGGTCGCTTTGTAAATATTCTAGTTGCTAATCTTGGGACCCAGGCATTGGTTATTCCTCCCCACACAAAGTTGGCACAAGCTACTGTGGTATCCTCTGAACAAATTGGGCTGGAGGAAGAGATAAGTGCATTACAGGTATCTGTGCATGAAGTTTTGGTTGAAGACGTAGGTAGTGACCATGTTGAGGTTGGGCCCACGCCCAAGTCTGATGTGTCAGTGGACACATCAGAACCTTCCTCACAAGAGACTTTTGTGTTTAGGGATGGAACCCAATACCAGTTACCCCCAGGATTAACCTTTGCTTCTTGTAGTTTGGATGAAAATCAGAAAGAGCAGTTGGTGCGGCTAGTGCAGAAACATGACACAAAATTCTCTAAACACCAGTATGATGTAGGCTGTTGTGATACGATACCTCATGTAATTCGTACTGTAGACAACATACCCATTGGCCAGCCTTACCGTAGGATTCCACCCAGGGATTTGCAGGAAGTGAGGGAATTCCTGCAACGACTACTAGATCAGGGCATCATAAAGCGCAGTGCGAGCCCATATGCGAGCCCGATTGTACTTGTTCGAAAAAAAGATGGGAGCCTGCGATTATGCATTGATTACAGGCGCTTAAATGCAAAAACGGTGCGCGATTCGTTCCCCCTCCCCCGCATAGAAGAGTCCCTGGAGGCACTCCAAGGTGCCAAGTATTTCTCCTCCATGGATTTGGCTCATGGCTACCACCAGGTAGTTATGGATCCCAAGTGCGTGGAGAAGACTGCATTCAGGGTACCTTTCGGACTGTTCGAGTTTACCCGTATGCCATTCGGGCTAGTCAATGCCCCTGGAACGTTCCAACGAGTGATGGAGATGTGTCTTGGGGACATGAACTTGTCAGAGCTCCTCATTTACTTGGATGATATACTTGTGTACTCGTCCACTTTTGAAGAGCACCTTCAAAGGTTGGACAAGGTGTTCACACGCATTGGGGAGTTTGGGTTGAAAATAAAGGGCAAGAAATGTCAGTTTCTCCAGGATCATGTTTCATTTTTGGGCCATGTGGTAAACAGCCAGGGAATATTGGTGGACAATGACAAAATCCAAAAGATTAGGGACTGGCCTGTGCCACAGAATGCAGAGCAGTTGCGATCCTTTTTGGGGCTTGCAGGGTACTATAGGAGATTCGTCCTAAACTTCTCCCGTTTGGCAGCACCGCTACATGCAATAATACCTCCAGTTCAGTGTAAAGGGAAAGTGCGGAAAAGTGTCCGAAAGTTTGAGTGGAGCACTGAAGCACAGGGAGCCTTTGACTCGCTCAAGTTGGCCCTCACTCAGGCCCCAGTGCTTGCATATCCAGATTTCTCACGTGCATTTGTTCTCGAAGTTGATGCTTCTCTACAGGGTTTGGGTGCATGTTTGGCACAAGACGATTTAGAAGGAAAAAGACACCCTGTTGCATATGCCAGCCGTGGTCTGAGGGGGGCGGAGGCTAATTACCCAGACTATAGCTCATTCAAATTAGAATTACTGGCTCTAAAGTGGGCTGTCGTGGATAAGTTTAGGGACCATCTCTTGGGGGTGCCCTTTACCATACTCACAGACAATAATCCACTCGCACATCTGCAAACCGCCAAGTTAGGGGCAAGTGAATTGCGCTGGGTGGCGCAATTAGCTGCATTCAATTTCGATGTGAAGTTTCGCTCGGGTCGTAGTAACCGGTGCGCGGACGCGCTTAGTCGCTATCCTAGTCAGAGCACTGCAGAGGTAGAGACAGTCATGCAGAGCAAGGTCCACTCTTGTGCAGTTCCAGTCCATGTTGCTGCAAATGCAGCCACTGTTACGCAGTCTGGTGGAGACGCTCCTCCAGGAACTGCTGGTCCCCCAGGGTTGTTTCCGTCGTGGTCATCGGAACAAATGGCATCCCTCCAAAGGGATGACCCAGAGCTGGGGTTGGTGTGGGAACTGTGGGACAAAAGGTGGACCCCGGGAGAGGTAATGCCTTGTGAGTTTACTACTTCACCAGAGTTGAAACTGTGGCTTGGACAGTGGCCTAGGTTTGTTGAAAGGAATGGTGTTCTGTGCCGGAGGGTGATGGACCCTGTACTTGGGGAGATTTTCCAAATTCTCCTACCCAAATGTCTGCAGCTTAGGATAATGAAAGGTTGTCATGATGGCTGGGGTCACCAAGGGGTGACCCGTACCTGCTCTTTACTGAGGAGGAGAGTGTACTGGCCTCGAATGACGGCAGATGTCCGTCGTCATGTAAGCCGCTGCAGACTGTGTATAATTGCTAAGGCTTCACAGCCGCAACCTAGAGTCCCAATGAGGCATCTAATGGCATTCCGACCACTCGAAATATTGGCGGTGGATTTTGTCAAAGTGGACAGGGGCCGTGGGGGCTACGAAGACATCCTCATCATGACGGATGTTTATACCAAGTTTTCACAGGCTGCACCCTGTAGGGACCAGTTGGCTGTTACTGTAGCGAAAGTCCTTAGGGACCAGTGGTTCACCAAATTTGGGATACCCAGTAGACTTCACAGCGATCAGGGACGCAATTTTGAGGGAGAAATCGTGAGGGAATTATGTTCATTGTACGGGATTAGAAAATCCCGTACCACACCCTATCATCCGGAGGGAAACGCGCAAGCAGAGCGTTTTAATCGTACACTGTTCGGATTGATTAAATCCCTCGATGAGCAAGACAGGCACAAATGGCCTGACCTTGTTTCCCATTTAGTTTTTGTATATAATGCTACCCCCCATACAGCAACTGGCATTGAACCGTATACCCTGATGTTCGGAAGAGAACCACTGATCCCTCTGGATCAAATGTTGGGCAGAACTGACTCAGATTGGGGACAAGAATTTGTTAGGGAGCAATCTCAGATGTTGAACCGTGCCTCGGAAATTGTGGGGGATAAAGTTGCTAAGAGGGCAAGTCAAAACAAGGCAGCATATGATGCTAGGGGGCGCACAGCAGTGAAACCAGTTGTACCAGGCTCGCAGGTACTCATGCGCAGATGTGCATTTGGGGGCCGTCACAAAATTCAAAATAAATACGAGAGCGATCCGTATATCGTGGTATGGGTAAATCAGCAAGGGGATGTGTGTTCCATTCGACCGGCTAAGGGAGGCGAACAGAAGACAGTAAATAGGAAATATTTACTACTAGACCCTTTAGCAGAACCGGAGTCTGACAGTGGGGAAGAGTCCGAGGAGGATTCATTATGTGATGTTGTGTCTGACACGGGTTGCTTGCCAGGCCGGCCTCCAGCTAATGGCTCTAGGGAAGTAGGGAGTGGAAAAGTAGGGGAGCCAGCTCAAGTCACTGGCTCAAGCTCTTCTGTTCCACTAAGAAGATCCGAAAGGGTGACAAAGGGGGTACACCGAAACCCATGTCGACTTCCCCGGTCAGCATTGCTTTGAATTTGATAGAATCTTGTGTTTACTGTGAGGTGACGACATCAGTTGGTGGATGGGTGTCGCTGGGGGTCTGGAACGTTTTGGGAGAAGGCTGGGGTATCCGGTTCTCTTAAGACCGACCAGATCCAGCGCTGCTCATTCGTACGATGTCGTCGCAGCTTTATTTTCACTATGTCAGATGACAGAGTTAAGTTAGTTAACTGGTATATTTCCTATATGTAGGGGTCCAGGTTGGCTCTCCTTTTTATTCATGTTGTATTTACTATGAGTTTTGTGCTATTTGGACATAGTTTTGTTAAACGCCTTAATAAAAGGAGAGGATCTTTTTATGTAGCTTTGTCAGGTGGAACGTACGAGATTAAGTGTCTGGGGGAAGGGGGTCTCACTATAGACCGAATAGAGAAAAACCCTCGACGATATTTGAGACCACTTGGTATGATATCACCAAAGGTGCTGGTCCTCGACTTAGGAACTAATGATCTCTGTGCAAGAGAAAATCAACCTGGGATGGTGCATGCCTCCTTATGCAATCTTATTAACGAATTTCCTAGGTGGAATATCAAACCTGAGGCTATTGTATTTTTGCCTGTGCTGGCCCGCACTGGGGCCATGCGAAGCTCACAAGTCTCACTTGATGAATTTAATGCAAGGGTTGAAGCATTTAACAGGTTGTTGGAGGGTTCCACATTTGTAGAAGATAGATGGTGGGTGTGGAAACACCGGGCCTTAAAGAACCCTGAGTACATCCTGGATGGTGTGCATCTGAACCCTGCAGGCATGGCTCACTATGAGAGAACCCTCAGACAGTTGATCAAGTTTTTTGAATTCAGGATTCTGTGATTATAGTAACTTGTTTGACGTTGCTAGGAGTGACGATGTGTTTGTCCTAACTCAAAGTATTGCTATAAAAGTTCAGTTAAGATTTTGGAAAGAAGGGTATATTTATATTGTATATGAGACCCGTCACGACGGAGGGCCGTTTAAGTTATACCCTGCCAAAATTAACATTTTTGTGCTTTAATGAAAGAAAATGTAATGAGCGTTAAAATGATGGGTCAGACAGCTCAATAGATAGTATGGTTTTAGAGTTATAACAATGTATGTAAACAGAGCCAGATTGGTCGCATTATGTTTTCTTGTTAACTGATCCCATTTTATTGCTGTTTTTAAAAAAGTGTTTTCCTAAATTGATCTCCAGGAGTAGATCATCAAAAGAAGGGGAGAGATGTAGTGATTAGAAATAGTTTATTTGCTTTGCCCATAAGGTCAAATGAGGGCGCTGTTTAAGTTAACTGGTCAAACTTCCGCGAATTTGTTGAGGGGTTATGAGGATATAGAAATAGTACGTTCATCAGCCAAGTAAGGGGATATTTTGACGATAATAGATAACTAAGGGGTTCTATCTCTCATGAAGTGCTGTATTCTCAGAAGTAAATGTCTGTTATTGTAAAATATGTGAATGTAGGATAGAGCAGATGATGTTTTTATCGTGTGCGCCTTAATACTAAACAACTGTTTACGTAAGCGGGTTTGGCGGGCACTGTCTCCGAGGTCTGCGTTTCTGACAGCTGCAGAAAGCTTGCTTTAGCAACTATTATCAGACCAATTTAGCCTGACAGCCGATGGCTGGGATGTACATTTAGACATCAGAGGAAGGAGAGACAGCCCTGGAGCCCGTGCACTGGCTGGTATGGAACAAATTGAATTATTTTCATGTTATTTTGGGGGTTTTACTATCAATGAAAGTGTAATTTCCAAGACGCCGACCGGGTCAGAGGTCACATGTCATACATGTATGTTAATGTGGGAAGGCCGTTGTATTTGCAATGGAGTTCTTTGTATCTGGGTTGGACTATGTAATTTTCTAGGGTTAATTTATTACTTGTACACACATGTATTGTGATTAATGGGATACGTGCACATGTATGTGAAGTTATGTGAGTTTATATTGATTTATTTTTAATGTATTTGATTACTAGGTTTTTTGTGATGAATGGGAGCATAGACGACTAATAAATTTGATGTGATCGAATCATCACCCCTGAACCTTGACTCCACACCGAGTTTCACTACAATGATGCTAACCGACTCTTTTTACCGTTGCTTTCTCAGCGAATTGGTTGGTGATGGATTCGCCCAGCCAATACTGGTGGCGAGAGACATGTCCTTGATATTAAGCAAGTCGGGATTTAGGTGTGGCGAAACTGCTAATCAGTATAGGTGCACGCCCTGTCCACAGGGCACGTACGGAGCCTTTTGGAGTGAAAACAATTGTTTTGACTGCCCGCCAGGTAAAACAGCCCATTATTATGACAGACAAGCTCAAAATAAAAAATTCTATTAAAACACGGCATCAAGGAGACTGCAAATTTTCTGATCCTTGTAAGCCATAGAAGAAAATGGGGAAAGTCATTGCAGCGCATTGTGTTAAGACCTACCAAGTCCAAGTATAGACAAAAGCAGTGGTGTAAATCCATGCCGGCGAGTGGCGGTATTGGGGAAGACTGAAAGTAAAAGATCACGCGGCAAGCTTCCGGACCCCGTACACGGCCCGCCTATGAGCATGTACCACTGGGCTGCCCTTTCACCTGCTGTGATTTATAATCGTAATCATCCCCAAAACATTCATGTTGGAATTTTATCTTGGTATTCCTCAAGGAAAAATGTTAAGAAATAACATCGAGATCGCTTAAAACGAATTTTACTTACCACCTTTCACATCCGAAATTTTCGTTCCTAGGTCTCCAGTACTTGCGTGAGAACGAAAATGTATAAGGACTAGAAGATTTACCTACTTACAGCTGATGGGTTCTAGATTAGTCGGGCTGGTTTGAATGCAGTCCTTATCAACAGTGATAACCTTGGTCGAGGCGTTCGTCATTATTCGTCCCTACGCGGTGTTACGATCGGCGGCATATCCTTGTTATGCAGTGCATTATTCAGCGCAAACAGCGGCCTCATGCGGCTACTATTTAATGCAAATTATATGGATCCAGACGAACGCCTTGTTCCAATCGACCATATGAGGTTTTGGGGTTGTTGCTCATTATGTTAATAGCCTAAGCTGACCTTAAAAAGTCGTTTTCTTATTGGTCGATTGTTGCGTGGTGGAAACTTGCATATATACTGTTGAGACATGTACTGTTTAAACATTGTGTGTCGATGTCTCACATTACACACAGCGTTAATGCACAAAAACATGTGGTTTCTCACATGTTCGCAAAGGGCAAACAGCTGCAAATAATTTGATGACGTCGAGATTTACCAAGGTGTGATTGCAAACTCCACATATTAGACCCGCCTACACTTATCTGTATTCGCGTATTAGATCTTGCAATGGAAATCTAACGCAAAATAAAGAAGAAAAAAAAAAAGCTTTCGCGGATGATTGGACCAAGGCGTTCGTCGGGATCCAAATGATTTGCATCAAAAAGTGGCCGCATAAGGTCACTGTTTGCGCTGTATTTTTAATACACTTCAAAACGATATGCCGCCTAGCGTTTACCGCTGACCGTTTACCGTTGACTGTTTTCTATACCGTTGACCAAGACTACAGCATTGATTGTATATGTTCTTGTAAATGGTAATAAGTCCTTCAAATTTATTCCAAACAATTGTAATTTCAAGACATTTTAATCTCCATTTTAACTTTCACTTTTCACCGAATGACCACTACACAATTATTTGATAAAATGTCATCTTTGAACAAAGGCCTTTTTCGAGGGCGAATTTCGTTAAAGTAATCAATGTACCTAAAATAATTGCAAATTTTATAGTTTTTTTGCACGCAAATGTTTTCTATTCGAAGGCTGAGGATCCGGAAGCCAGCTAGCAGGTGGTGGAATTTCAGGCTCTATTTCCCAGTCATGTAAAAAAAGGAGGGGCAGGGCATCTTGACACCCCATGGAACTAGGGCGGGGGGGGGGGGGGGAGGGAGGGGTCATGATACAACATGCACACCTTCAATGCAAACAGGCACGTGTACAATACGTCGGGATGGGGCGCTGTTCGTTTTCGTTTTTAGTGTTATTTAATACATTTCGCCGGTTGGAAAGTTAGAAAATGTTTTGTGTCCTCACCACAAACAAATATGGGGGTGGAGGATCCAATGGCCCATCCCGGTTAAAATATTACTTTGTGGTTTATCCCCATTGTGTTTCTGTCATATCGCTTAATCGATTTTGTCTCGAATTTTCGTTTTGTCCCGGCAATTCAGGCGGCTTTTACCAAACCAAGGCGGGGCAAGTGATTGACTCACCTCAAGCTATCAACTGTCAACGATGCAACAATGGCACCTATGTCACGCCCCAGGCGCACCCTGGTATCAGTCCTACGAATTGCACGGTGTGTCCTACGGGTACCAATAAGAGCCTTCACGCTGGCTTCCGCGCCTGTCCATGTCTGGATGGTTTCTACCGTACTGACCGGTTCGGTGAATGCCATCCGTGTCCAACCGAAGGAGTCAACTGCTCAGAAGAGTACCAACACCTCCTGCCTGGCTTCTGGTGGACCTGGGAATGGGGTTTATCGGATGACAACTACATTTCCTACGAGCGATTTGTCAAAAATGTGTGCACTGAAGATTCCAGATATGACAACACAAGCAATTTCCGATTTGGGGGTGTGTTACCCAAAGTGCATAAATGTCCTCGCAATGAGTCGTGCGTGAATGCTGTTCTGGGTGGTATCAATGCAACATGCAAGGAAGGCTATACGGGGTGGCTTTGCTCCCAATGCAGTCCGTACTATTACTCGTGGTTGGATCAATGCTTCGAGTGTCCCAAATGGTGGTGGTTCTTGTTTGAAGTCATTGCTGTATGCGTGGCTATTGCTCTGATTGTCATCATCATAGCTTGGCAGGCGCGCAAGGTCCGAAGAAACGGTCGGTCTGCCGTCAGCCTGCTGCTTGCTCGAGGGAAGATCCTACTGGGTTTTTACCAGGTCATGGGGGAGATAATCTCAGCGCTGGATGAAATTGCATGGCCGAAGACATTAACAAGTGTTGGTTCTTTCTTTAGACTGTTGGAAGTGGACATCGTGCGGATGTTTATCAGTCCCAGATGTTATGTCCCCAACTTCACGTATCCTAATATTTACATTGAGTTCTTGGCAGGTATCATTTTTGTGGCGTTTGTTCTTCTTGGTGGCTGGTGTTTTTACAGCTCCAAGATGTGTTACCTGAAAGCAAAGACAATTCCGCGTGCGGAACAAAACGCTCTTATGTTGCAGACCAAGCAGAGGTGTTACTTGTTTGTGGTGATACTGCTCTTTATTTCCTACCCCAGCCTGTCTAGTGTTATTCTCACATTATTGCCCTCTGGGTGTCACGTCTTCTACGTGGATGAAAACAACACCCTCAATGTGACCAGACTTCGAGCCGATTACTCGATCGATTGCAAAGAGCAGCGGCATGTTCAGTTCAACTACTTAGCTGAGGCCTCCCTCTTCTACGTTGTTGGGTTTCCCTTAGTGTTGTTTCTCCTCTTGTGGTGGAACATCAGAAAACGGAAAAAGACCAGGGCTGTCAGTGGTAGACAGGAAAGTGAGGATCAGCCTTTGCTCGATGCGGGTAGTCGATGTCGTTTGGATGCCGGTCGTGTCGCCAGTTACATAAACAACGTGCCTGATGAGACAGATGACGAACTTTTCCTACACTCGGAACCATGCCATGCTGAATTCAATTGGGAGAGTTTCTTGTGCGAGAATTACAAGCCAAATTTCTGGTACTGGGAAATTCTGGAGCTGGCCCGCAAGATCGTCCAGACGCTTTTTGTGCTTCTGTACGGGCCTGACGATCATTTTACCATGTTCGCCACCATAGTCATTTCGGTGGGCTTTCTGCTCCTGCACGCTTACGTCAAACCCATGAAGGATGCTGCCGAGCATCGTCTGCAGATGTGCTCGCTTGGTACCATCTTCCTGAACCTGTTGGCTGCGACGCTGCTTCTTATGCCAAGCGAGGATGCTCAATCCAGCGAGAAAAGGAAGGATTTCCTTTCTGTTTTTCTTGTGCTGATGAACCTCAGTATCATCGTTTTTGTCATCGGTAAGAATTTCTTTCCATCTACCTGTTGCATCTCAACGGCCTTGCAGCTGACGCAAGGATTCTCAGTATATTAAAAAAAAAAAATTGTTAGGCATTGAATTTTGGTTCTCTGGCCTTGTAGCTTTTAAAATCAGAATATGATAAAAAATACGTTCTGGCAACTAGGTACACGAAAAGTGATTGCGTTCTCTCTGCTTTCATCGCTATAGCTAGCTTGGTCTGGACCAGTGTGAAGGCCTTATGGCGTCATGGATGCTTGCGTCGCTTAGGATCGTGCATCGCTGGGGAGTGGAGCTGGTGTTGTAGATCTCGTCATCGTGGGCAAGAGGTGAATAACCATCTTTACGATGACGGCAACGAACAGGACTCAACCACCATGACAGTTAACTTTGAATAATAGACCTCAGAACAGTTGGATAGTAATGCCTCAGAACAGTGTTACTCATCAGTGATGACGGGCAGACGGGGTACAAGGTTTGTTTTGGAACTAGGTTGCCTGGTATCATCGCTGGTAAATTGTGGCAGGACGAAATTGAGCAGAATTACGCTAGATCATGATTTCCTTTTATAAGTTTTGTAATTAAAAAAACAGTGATAAAAAAATCTCATACTTCGAACTTTGAGGCAAATTGAAACTTAAGTAAGTAATTCAAACGTGACTTCTCGCGCTTACTCGAGCCTGGCCCAAGTAACCGACTCGCCGAGCCGGTTACTTGGGTAAGTATCCCATAAGGCCATGAAATAAACATGAATGCCAACGTGACGTCTGGCAGGCGCCTCAGGCCGTGTCCGAAACGGGCGGAAAAATGTTGCAACCTGACGCCACTTTTTTTCTTCATATATCATCTCAATGAAGGTCATTCATTGCAAAAATGAAGATATGACGTGAATCTGGGACTGAAATTTTTTTCTAGTTTTGTTAGGAAATAATTAGAAAATTTTCTTGACTCTTTAGACTTTGTAAACGAACTGCTGAAGTGTCGTCAGGTTGCAACATTTTTTTTTCCGAAACGGGCTTCCAGAGCTATACGGCCACGTCTTTTGTCAGTGCGTCCCTGCGTATTTTCAATGAGTGTGGACCGATACATAGCTCTAGACAGTCGATTGGGATGCAGCCTGTGTCAAGTTAAAGTTAAACTTTCCAGCTCTTGTATATTTAGCTCGACTGCGCATGTCTGTCATCACGCTAGGAGCCAGGAGCGAGTAAGCTGGGGGAAGTAATCGAACGCACTCATTAGCAGGCTGGCCCCGTCCGTGAGCAGCCGAAAAATCTGAAACGTTTCTGTGTGTTCGATATTTAAGCACAATAACGTTGGTGTGTCTGAACCCTGTTAAGATTTTCTTTGATGGAAATTGATGTGAAGGACATTTTAAAAATGTAATCTCTATATAAAAAAATTTAAACGGTTACGCGATCTAACTAGATTAATAGAGAATATAGTTGATAGAAGTAGGTTAATGTTATCGTTTAAAAAAGTAATCTACATATTTTTATAGCCAGATGTCACAAAGTGTATGCGTATCAGTAGACATAAAAGTCTGACTGATTGCTGTGAATATAATTTTTGCTTGCAAGTAGTGGATACCACTGTGGGGCTAATGATTGCTTTGCGGTATACACTATCAGTAAATAGTTCTATTTTTGTCTGATTTGCGTTCTTTTTCCTGTATAAATGTTTTGCATGTTAATTCAATATCCAGGTTTAATTCACAACGTAAAATTGGAATGGCAGATTTAGCTTGAGTGAGTAACAGTGTCTGGCTCGGTACCGGCACCCTTCATAGGCAAAATAAGCCCCGCCCACTGCTTCCTCAGACTCAATCTGCCACTGTTTGTTTGTAGTAATATTTGTAACACTTCGCTCAGATGCTAATAAAACAAGACGACGCAATTATAGTACAGCTGGTCCCAGTGTGCTCGAAATAATATTCAATCCTTTTAGAATGGTCTAGTACAGAAATGGCAGGATTTACCACTTCCATTGGTAAATTACGGGATAAACTTTGGGACAAGGTGAGAATTAAGCAAGTCTAATTCACACGTTACATCCAGTCAGTCTTCAGATAAAAGAGTACTTCTATACTACCCCGCTTTTCGAATTTGTACTGCCGGGGAATTTTTGGATTTGGGTCATCCCCAATCCCACACTGCCCGGCACAAATTTACGCCGCTGGACAAGGGCGTAGCAAGGTCCTTTTTGGGAGGAGGAGGGTAAACAATCTTGAAAAGGGTATTCGCACACACGGGGAGGGGGAGGAGAGGGAAGGAGAGGGGAGGGGGCGTTCCCCCCCCCCAAAAAAAAAGAGAAGAAGACAAGGTGCGAAGTCATGTTCTGTTTCATTTAATGCACATTTAACAACATAGGCGTCCGCGGGGATGGCAAACTGGCAATTGGAAACGCCCCTCTGCCCATTCTCGAAAAATGATAAATTGAAAATATGCTAGAGAAATACAAGGATTTGGAAAAATAATGTGCTTTGCCCCCTCTAGAAAAAAATCCTGGTGACGCCCATGCATAGAGCCAATTCATGTAATTCAATACAACTGTCAATACAATAATCATTACCCTCAATCTCACTGTGGGCACGGCTTACCAGTGTACCGCTGTTGACCTAGTGACGTCACGGGGTCGCATGGACACATTTCCATGTACCCATTGTTGTTGTTTGTTTCGCATGCAATCGGATAGTTGCTCACAGAAACCAGTCAATCAATAAATAGGGGAAAATACTGTATTGTGTCTAAATCATGGGTTTGCATTTCAAAATAAAACATCGCCAGGACGTATATACTCAAAACGTACTGACGTTATAGTTTATAGTGGACTATATCGCGGCAAATGGAAAAACCCAACAGTGCGATCACAATGGTTGAGCTAATTATAGGATTCTACGAACCGCAGCAAGAATAGCTCGGGATTTCCATACCTTGCCACACGGTTATCATCTGCAGGGGATTCCCGCTTAGTTGAACTTTAATGGCTAAGGTGTACCGTTAAATGTTGTTGTCCTTAAAATGTTGAGCCGCAGAGGACACAGCGCATACTCAGTACACAAATCTGAATTAAGCTAATGGTGTTAACATTCGGGTAGGGTAAAGCTTAGTTGTGATGAGTTTTTGCACGGGATTTGAATGGTGTAGTTGTGGTCCCATTTGCAGAGAGGGGGCACTTGAGCGGTACTCTCATTTTGTGTGATTTAAACAACAAAAAGCTAATTTTGGTCTTCCCGAATTCCAATTGGGCGCAGGGGAGGGGAGGCCGAGGGCACGAGCACGCGAGGGAAGGGGAGAGGTTGCCATGTTCCCCTCTGAGGCTGGATCCAGAACACAATTTTTGGGGGAGCAAGTTTTTCCCCCGAAAAAGTCTGTCCAAAATATCCGCCCCAAATTTAATATAAAAAGCAAGGGGACACAAGGACTCTTCATGGCATTGGTACATGGTGCTGTACGCAGTGGCTGCCTTTTTTGCGACGTAACTTAAAAAAGAAAAATATGTTCATTGTTTTTTCAGGGGGGCGTGCCCCCGACCCTCCCCTGTATCCACTGTTGCTCCCCCTAGATGTGCCACTCTAACAAGGATAACAGTATAGTTCAGATTTCATTGAGGCCATTTTTTACTATGACACCACTTAATGATGGCGCTTGTCAACAACAAAAACTACCCTTTGGATAACTAAGCGAGCCAGGTGTCGCGATACTCAATTTCATCACCCAGTACCGACAATAACTTGCGTATTAGTTGCCATTTAAGCCGTCATGTTTGTAGGGGTGCGAGTTGTACGAGGCCCGGACTGGAAATGGGGCGACCAGGACGGGGGGAGAGGCTCTGTAGGCACCGTGGTCCCTGCAGAGTCTGCGGAGAGTGGTAAGCATAACTGTTAAACACCATTAAATAAATTCTCATGTCCAAGGTATGCCCCAAAGTTGAGTTCGTAGCGTGTTATTTTAAGACGTACAGGGTGTAAAATAAAGTGCGCCAAGTCTATATTTGGTACGGACAAAGGATCGACACAGAATGCAGAATCTCAAAATCAAATCCTGTATTCTATCGAGTAGGGAAATAATTGGAAGTTGGTATTTCAATTCCTCGAGTTAAGTCTGCTTTATGCCTTTCTGTTTATGGGAGACACTACTTGTCATGTTTCAGCCAAGGGTGTCTGGGTGCGATGGGACGCGGGCAGGAAAGCAAACTACCGCGCTGGTGGAGAAAAAGGCACGTACGATCTGCGGATTTACGATAACGCCCAACAAGGTAAGACGCTGAGGTTGTTTAAATGTTCATTACACCACGGATCCTACACACAAGGACCAACGACTCGCCCAACTCCTGGTTAGACGCATGATAACGGCCCGTATACGTACCGGTGGCACATACCATGAACACTTGTCAACAAAGACCACTGCGCGCGGTGGTTTTCAGATTTGCAGGGCTCTGCGCCCGATCTGGTGTCGAAGTCTGTCAAGCCAGCTAATTATATTTTTGAATACTCATGAGTCTACGTTTATTGAATTTTGATAAGTGATAACTGCATAACCCTGTTATACCGAGCACAATATCTTAAGCTTGGAATATTGGAATAGAAGCGAAGAGGGGATTTCAGACTTTATACACGAGTCGGCCATTTTAAATTGAAAGCGAAGTAAATTTTTCATTGGTTTTTTAACTTGCAAGTAGAAATAAACACAATGACATAAAAGTTCATTACAAATTACAACCAGTGTGCTAATGTGAATAGTTTAAAAGCTGTGATTAAACATACCCTAATGTTTTAAGCCCCACCTGAAAGGGAGGCTTAGAACGCACTCCAATCATAGAAATAGTCTGGCACCATCCCATTTAACAGTTTAAAATTTATAAAATAGATTCAGGGAACGCGCTCGAAAATGGCGTCCTCGTGAATGAGGTCTATTCGTCAACAGTTTGTTTTTTAAATGTCACATTTTATTTAGGAGTGAAGCATCCGAATGTCAACTGCGACTGCTGTCCAGAGGAAGGCATCCTCGGCTTACGCTGGAAGTGTCTAGAGTGTCATGACTTTGACTTGTGTCACAGCTGCTATAATGAGGGAAAGCATGACCTGGGTCATCGCTTCACTAGGATCGAAACCAACTCAGTTCCAGGGTGAGTTGGTTAGGTGCTGCATTTTCGTGTAAACTGAGTGGACATTAAGAATGTTCACTTCTCTAGGTTGCAACCAAGTAATTACTCCCATTGACACCTGTGATAAATTTCCATACTTGAAAACTATATTAAAGGCCCTAAATACTCAAAACTCTCACAGGTGTTCAGGCTGTAAAAACATATGATGATTAACATGTCGTCTTTCATTTTCCTATCACCTGAAGCCGACCACTGTTAAAACGAATAATATTTCCAAAACTGGAACAGTAGCCATTTTCAAAAAGGATGCCTCCACAACATGGCTTCATAGCGCCACTTCAGTACCTGATTGAATCCAAAATGCTAAGAATTGGAAGCCCAAAGTCCAGGCCAGAGGTGCAGTGCCACATGTCTTCAATTCCCCCATTCCATGGCTCTCAGAACTGTCGCATATAGAATAACTTTTCATTGGTTGCACCATCTAGGCTTCAATAAAGTTATGCTTTGTGAGTCGGTACCATCATCCCGGTGGTTATTATATTTTGATTGTCGTCCATTCCCCGGATCCGTAGAGCTCCCACTTCTTAGTCTGGTATCCAGACCAAATGATTTCAGCCTATTCTGTCAAATCTTTGGTTAGGATCTTGCCCATCATTCAAAAAATGCACTTCTTTGACAATCGGATTTGTTCGAAATAGCTGTGATATATCCCGGTGTAAAATGGTTATCTAACAGCATAATACCTGTCATGCTTGTTTTCAGCTTTGAATATAAATTCATGGTTTGCATTTAAGAGTTTCAAAGCCAGGGGAGTGGTGTTTATCTGCATTATGGAGATATCTTGTGGCGGTTCAAGTGTACTAATTTTCATCTACAACCGGATATAGTCAATTACCAAAATACGTTTACGTGAATGATATCAAGTGATTGAAATAATGTTCACGTGATGCTAGGTTCACGAATTCAACTGACACCAGTGCATTATGTCAAGTGACTATACTTGGTTGCAGAAAAAAAGAGCGCTAATTGCACCAGGTATTATTTAGAGCAGAGTGTACCTTGGACTCATAAATTGTGTATTCAAACATTAAACCAGCTGGTCCGATCCGAGTCGGACTTTGGAACGAAATGTCTGTAGTGATAAAGCAAAACAATGACGACAAGATAATATCGCTCCAGCATTCTGTCTAGCATTATGTTGTCATGTAGGTTCAGCCAAAATGAAAACAGCAGTATTTCATCAACAACTATTTTTATCACCAAAACCAAAAAATCGAATGCAACTGCCTCCAGATTAACTAGAGTGACTGCCTTGACTTTATTATGATAGTACGCATGGGCCCTTGAGATAAATTATCGCACAAAACTTAGTAAATTGTAATAAGTCACACCATTCCGGAAACGTGTGTAAACCTGACAACTAAATGTGCACGTGAGAAACGGGCAATACAAGTGGTCAACAGAGGGCGCTATTTAAGGAAACTGAACAGGCGGTCCAGAACACTTCCGCTCGACGTCTTTAAGATGACCCTACTACTGGAACATAATACACAAAGTTCAGTCCTCTCTGTCTAGCAGCAGTACAACTTATGAGATAGGTCTCACAAACTTCTTGGTGGTGCCTTGCGCAGTGACCTTCGCTTCTATGGTGCGGAACTTCCCGTCGTCTCCTGTTGAAGGATATTTCGCTGACCCTGTAAGGTGGAGAGGTACTCGCTGCTCCAGCGGAACCAGAATTTACTAACGGGATTCTGCACTTGTTTCCACTGGCTCTTGAACAAGTCCTTGTCCGTGAAGTCGGCAGGAGGAGGAGGAGTGCACCAACCTTTTGTGTATCAAGTTAAATGGTGAGTTCGGATCGGTAGCGGTCTGGCATTGATGATGGCTGTGTATGTAACTTTAGCTAAGAAGGTGCATAAGACTTCATGCGACAGGCGAGATTTGTTCTGTAGCAGCAAGGATTCTACGCGCTACTCAATTTAATCTGCTCCCAGGCACCTCCCGTGTGTGAGAAGTCGGGCGGGTTGAATTCCCAAGCGCAGTCATGTTCGTTGGCTGAGGTAGCATTGAACACTCGTCACCTGCTGCTGCTCCTTTCAGATTTGCAACTCTTTACAGGTTCCGACGAAAGCCGTAGGGTAATCTGATCCCAACTGTTTTGCTGGTCCACGGATGGCGAAGAATCTCCGGAGTGCATATTGATGTTACTTGAAGTGTCCATGGCTTCTATGACTTCTGTGTGGACTGCTCTTGTGCCCATGCAAGCGAATTACTTCGCCCAGCGGTTGCTTTGAGCTTGACATCCTCTGGTGCGGCAGATGACTGTCCGACATTGGTGAAAGTTTGAGCCCCTCTGGAGGTAAATCTCAAAACAGATGAGCCTCTCGCCGCCAATAATCCACAAGCCTGATGCTCGGATGGCTCCTTCAGTGAAGTGGCGACCTTGATGCTTCATGTGCTCACGGTAGTGTCGTACCATTAGTGCGGAAACATAGTTGCGTCTTGGTAGGAGAATGGGATTTTTCTCACTGTTGTCCTGCTGCGCATGCTTCAGACAGCCTCCTACTTTGATGAATCTATCTTCTTCTGTGGGACTCAGCTTTGAGAGTGAATGGGAAGGAGAAACGTCTCTCTTCCGGTGAAGAGAATCAAGCAAACTCCTCGGAGTAAACTTCTCCCTGAACTGACTTGATGATGACATTCTTGGCTTAAGACAACTCAACTGGAACGCGTGGTTTGTTGCTTTGATGCCAACCTTTGAATTCGGCAGACTGATCTGCCTGGTCCTTGCAGGAATGAGTGATTGTAACTTTGCGATTGTAACTTTGGCGATGAAACTTCTCTACTCGGGCTGGATTTCCGAGTAAGGGTCCGAGTAAGGGTCCGAGGGCTACCAGCTCGATTATGATTATTTGTTCTCCTCCATAGCATTGCCAGGTTTGTGTAGAAAGGCTAGTCCTGTGAACCACGGTGTACTGGTGAGCTGGGATGCTTGAACTGTTTTGGAAACGTGGTCAGCTGGGTTGCGCTTGATAGGAACGTTGATTGGTTTCATTGTATATGTAACTGAGCACGACTTAACTGTCACAGAAGAAGTTCAAGGCTTCTAGCTTGATGTCAATTTCATCTAGTATGAGTTCTGCTATCTCTACTGCCAAGACTGCAGCACACAGCTCTAGATGGGGTATGGTGGGTAGCGAATGAGGAGTCAACTTAGCTTTCCCAAGAACGAAGCATACTTCAACTTGTCCAGTTTCGTCAACGGTTCTGTAATAGGATACTGCAGCGACGGTGTTGGTGGATGCATCTTAAAAACACGCACAGATCAGTGTGCTGTGCCTTGGAAAACGACGTCGAAAAATAGGTGCGTGGGACGTGAAGCTGCACCCAGAAGCAAATCTCTTCATGCTTTCAATTCTTGAAGCTTTTCTTCTGGGAGGGATGCATCCCGACTGTGAGTGTCGATGGTGAGTTCCCGCTGTATATCTCTGCCCTGTATCGAGATTTAAGGTACCAGGCCAAGTGGGTCAAAGAGACTGGACACCTCGGTGTGTGAGTGGTTTGTCACCACTCCTTACCTTGAAGGTGAAGGTGTCCGCTTTGGTCTCCCGGGAACTCCTTGACTGCGTTGGTCAGGTTCAATCCTATCTCCGAAGCACAAGTCTTTATGGCATACTCTTGAGGGGGTTACTGCCTGCATCACAGTGGTGCTGTTCGAAGCAATCTTGTGAAGCCGTTAGTTGAATGTTTGGTTCCTTCAGCAAGTCGATGGCCCGTTCATCCGTTGGTTGATACTTGAAATGTCTGTAGCCCTGTATACAAACATAATCCAAAGTATTGCTTCCTGCAAGTCCACCAAATGGGATTATATAAAAATGTCTTATTTAGCAAACTACTAAATTCTTGATACTCTAATGACCAACAATGAATAAAGGAGCGCTCAATAAAAAATGAATAAACATTAAGAGATGCACCAGGATCCTGGATTTGGGTCTACAGTCTTACTCTACTGGCAAGAGACGTCACAAAAGTTCCTCCAAAAAAGGGATAACAGTTTTCCGGGTCACCATGCAGTTCCAGACCAAGAGCTGTACTCCAGGTGCAACTAGCTGGGATCCACAACCGGTCCAGGTGACGACGGCTTGAACCCAGTAAACAGGCTCGCGACCGATCAGCAGGCTGGTGGCCGGTCAACAGGCTTGAAATCTGCTCACTTCTGCTGGATAGCTCACTCAGATCCAGTCCAGGATACAGTGGAGTTTTAAACCCCAAAACCTGAGAGCCAGCAGTCTCTCTCCTTTACCACGGGAAAGACCGATAAATAAATACAAAAATATCTTCAAAGACAGGTAATTTGGCCCATCCAAAATCTGACTTTGGGCCCCTTTTCGGCTTAGCGAAAGCAACAGTAGGGAGGTAAAATGGCGGCCTCCGTGAGAGAATCCTACACGCGCGCTAAAACAGCGGGCACAAGAGGGCGCCACTTCGCGGCCCCTAAATCTGCTGCATCGCCCCGATGCTACCCCTCCTTGTTGGGCTGAAAGAAAGGCTTACAGAAATCAGGTAGCCAGTGCTGCATGACATTGATGCTTAGCTGGTGCCAAGACGGTTGGCCCAACATCCCGTAGGTGAATCTTTTTGGAGCCCTCCGCTCTCTAGAAGTACGAGACACACCAACATCAACCTGGCTCGGCACCCCAGCGCCACAGCAAAATTTGACTCAGCAATAGGGTTGCATGGGATGGTTTGAGTTTGTGTTGGGGCACACTTATGAGCACTTGGATCAACATCTTGATCAACATTAGCATCATCAGCATGGCCACTAACCACAACCTCAGCACCAATATCCAAGTCACTATGAGGTACATACCCCTCATCATCACAGTAGGTAGCGGTACCCTGTGTGTCATTGGAAACCCCATCCAGACATGGTGCAGGAGACTCCCTTGATGTCTCACATGCAGTGTCGTCACTCTCACGGCATCCTCCTCAGAATCTCCAGGTGGTGGTTTACTTGGCACACCC